GTGAAACCTTGGTAAAAGGAAAAAAGGAAAATAAACCATACATGAAACTTCCGTTAGCAGTATTGTAAATCATGGTGCCTTCATCAAAATGGGGAGTGGGGATTAGAATCTAATTAAAGTGAGAGCAAAATGAGGTTCCTCCAGGCTGGTAGTTGGGGTGGGGGAATGTGTCTGAGGGGCAGGGGATAAGATTGTCGGGAACCCCACTGAAACATAGCCCCAGTGTCCCCCCTCTCCCTCTCCTCACGGGGTGCCCCTGCCTCCCCCAGCCTCAAGTCCAAACCCTCAGGTCCCTGCATTGCTTGAGAAGTAGTTAGGGGGCGCACCCCCTCCCTCTCGCCCCGCCTGATGACAGCCTGGGGGCTGGTTGCCACCCATAGCCCCGAAGGGAAAGGGCCCCTCGCTCAAACCTGGGTGAGGCCAGCGCTGGGGTTGGACTGATCTCCACGCCTGAGGGCCAGGCCAGCTCCAGCTCCTGGGGCCTCCGCCCACAAGTAACGCCCCTGATTATGACGTGGCCTGTGAGCCGTCGACCTGTATGACGTCATGGCCATGCCTTGGCCAAGGGCAGGCGGGGTGGGAGCATCAGTCTACTTTCAGGACTACTTTACCCGGACTCCTGAGAGTCCGCATCCCTACGAACTTTCCCTCAACTCCAGATAGTCTGAGGCCCTAGGGGCCTTCCTACCCAATGCCTCACTGCAGCCTCGGCTGCACAACAGGGCTGGTGGTGGGGGCACTCTAGGAACCTGAATTTGACCAATCCCGTGCAGCCACGTCTCCCTTCCACTTCACACCTTCTCTGTGGGCCCCAGAAGGCCAGCTCGAGCCCCCCTAATCTGCCACTACCTACCTCAAAGTGAACTCTTGATCACAGGGGTCCTCTCTCAGCTGCTGGGTCTCCATCAGAGGTCCGGGTGCAGCCGGCGCTCCCCTGACACAACAGTAGGCCACACCTTCCTCCAGGGGGCGTGACCCCCACCCCACCCCCACACGGCTGTGACGTGCTCTGGATGGAAATCAGTCCTGAGCCCTGGGGGTGCGTGCGCCTGTGGTGTCGGTGGTGGTGTTGGTGGAATCTTTGCAATTGTAACATCCTCACCCCGAGGTCTGCTATTTCCTGGATCTGGTCCACACCCAATGAACACTCCCATCACAATAACCCTCTCGAGCCCCTGCAGGCCCAGTACAAGGACTCATTTAGAACCCGGCCAGATGACTCCCTCCGATTCTCCTAGGCCCTGGGGGGAACTGTGCGGCCTCCTTCATAGAGTGGGAGTCATTTCTTCATTCCTTAGGAAGATGTATAACCAGTCCCAGTACAGTCAAAGGGAACCCACGGATCGCTGCAAAATTGGTCCTGGCATCTGAATGCGTGCCCACCACTGATGAGTGACTGTGCAACAGATGAAAGTTGTTTGGCAGTTTTGTAAATTTTTTTAAATCGTTTTGGGGCCACACCCAACGTTGCTCAGGGCTTCCTCCTGCCTCTGTGCTCAGGGATCACTCCTATTGGGCTCCAGGGGGCGATATGGTGTAGCGGGGATCAAACTCTACTCAGCCCAGGGCAAACGCCCTATCCTCTGTACTATCGCTCTGGTCCCTGTTTGGCAGCTCTGTTGGGGATGCAAAGTAAAGTGAATATTACTTTTTGCCTAAAAGGTAGATGGACTCTCACTCCTTCTGCCTTACTTTCCTACCAGTATTCCAGGCTTTAGTTGTGAGACTGACACCATAATACTCCACAAAGAGTTACAGAATAGTCCTGTATAGAATTACCTTCCCTCACAATGGTTTCCACCGAGAACCTTGCCATTCTCCAGAGGGGTACCAGAAGGATTGGGGAGTGTTTATTGAGCAGGGTGCTTTCTGTTATTTATTTAAATAAGGTAGCTAAAGGGTGTGGGGGCCTGATGAATTGTTTATCTGGAAAGGAGGTGGTAAGTCAAATCAATTTGTTGGCTTTTAGGCCACGCCCACTTACCCAGCAGGGTTCAGGGACATTCCTGGCTCTTTGCTCAGGGGTCCCAGTAATACTTAGGGGACCATAGGTTGTGCTGGGGATCGAAACAGGGTTAACCACATGCAAGGAACATGCTTTAGCCCCTGGGGCCATCTCTCCATTCCCAGAACATGAATCAACCTTAAATATCAATTTGGGTTTTTATGTCCTAGTGTTTTCAAAGATTTTGTCTGCTTCTAGTCCCATCTAATCCAGGAAAACTAGAGATAGAGAGTCTACTTGAGGCACAATTATGAATCGCTTTTAGCTGTAAAGCATTGACACTCTCAGGAAGCAATTAAAATGGAATTGCTTAAATGGTGGGTTTTACATGCCAAACATCCAATGAGGGCAGGCAGGCGTGGCAGGGATACTGAGGTATCTAGGAAGCAGAGGCTTCTCCCAAAGTGACCCCCTGGTGCTGGTTATACAATCCCCCACACTTGGTCTGGATGTCAGTGTGACCCTCAAGGATCTTCTGATGGTTTAGTCATGCCTTCTCATTCAGGGTTCAGGTGCTGGGACATCCCCCATTTGCAACCAATTATTGCTTCCTTTCTTGTTCTCTGAAGCCTTGAAGCAAAGGCTTTCAAAACTTGCAACTCCAGCCCCCCAAGGCAGCAATTGGGACTGCCTGTCCAAATTATAAAAGTCCAGTGCTCTTCTTCCCCTGCAATTGGACGTTTTAATTTCTTCCTACAGTAACACTTGCTCATGCATGAAATGTGTTATTCATCACAGCATGGGTCCTACTGACAAAGTAGCAGAAACAACCTAGATGTTCACCAAGGAGGGTGGAAAAACTAAAATAGGAGGGAGATACCATATGGCGAAGAACATCATATAATGGTATGGAAAAGCCTCCAAGATACGGCGTGTTGTGAAACAAGCAAGGGGTGACAAAATGCATACAATATGCTAGCATTTGTGTAAAATGCTGGTAAGAGGCAGAAAAACACTGCAGAGAGTGTCTGAGAGTATACAGATATATTTGAAATGATCATAGTCGTTACTATTGCAGGGACTGGTGATGGAAGTGAGGTGTGGAAGGGCAGAGTACAGTAGCTTAAGACTTTTTGGGAAAACTTTCTAGGTTTTGGGTGTTGAACCATGAGAATAGCTTACTTATTCGATAACAGGTCAACTGCTTATTTTAAAATTAAAAAGAGAAAACTTTGGTGTTCTGTGGAAACAGCCAGAGTCCTGACTAAAAATGCAAGCTTGCATTTTTGGCCTCACCCCTTGATGTTCCAAGTCAATATGGATGTACATTTTGCTACAAGCTTGCTGATTTTGATGTAAATGATCCAAAGAACCGAGGAACTAGGCAGCTTAAGATCACAGACTATATTCATGCAGCAGCTGTCCTTTTATTGAACATTGAACACATGCGTCTCCCCATTTCATACATTAGGCCTTGTATTAAGAAACAAAATTCATGTTTAACTTCCATAACTTGAATATGTAGCCTAGTTCACTGGAGTTGACTCAGTGTCACATGGATCAGGTACAGTGTGATAGAAGCAGTGAAAACATTTCTTGAAAAACAACACAATCAAATCTACACACTTCATAGGTAGTTTCACATGGTGACACAGTTACATTTACACATTTAAAAAGGATTTGAATCATTACATGAATATTGTGAACTTCATAAATAATTTATTAGTCTAAGGCGTCTAGGGAAAGCCAAGCCATGACATTATTTATATTATACCACACCTGGAACTTGTTCTGAATTATTCAACCCCAAGCACATTTTAACTCAATAAATATTTACAATTAATAATAACAAGTGCAATGATAATTTATAAAATATGAGAATGGTGTTTAAAACCAAAGCATAAAATGATATTAGTTTGTGACATGGATTTTTTACAATTCACTGAAGTGACCCCAAGCCCAACTGACTTGAATACACAAAAGACCATTTATGTTTGAATCATTTAAGCCCAGACAACAGAAAGATTTTTTAAATAAAATAAACTTTACTTGCTTAATGTTACAGTCTATCCATGTCAGTATATAAATGATAATAGCTAAACTGGAAACAAGTGATGAAAAATTGGTATCCACAACAGGACCACATTATAGAATGTATCTTAAACACTGAAATCCTGGGTTACGCTAAAAAATTTCAAGCTTGTCTGGGAATTAATGAGTAGTGGAATGTTTGAGGTTTCACTGTCCACCAAAATAATTCGCATAAAAGACCATAAAATTATGTGAGTTCTTTCATGTTATTATATGACCTTGGAATGAATTTTAAATGGGTGAGGGGAGTAGTCTTCTAGAAATGTGATCTGGGAGAGGGCAGGGAGATGGTGATACCTGGGTTTATCCTAGGAGAATTAGGGCTCAGCATTCAGATGCCTACATCCATTCCTGAGCTTATCACCTTTGCTTTAGTCCAGGAGAGAATTTTCTATTACAGGCTACTCATATCTTCAGCTACTCATTTTCCAGGAAACCATCCACTGCCATATCTTACTCTTGGGAATGAAGTAGGAGCAGATGGTTATACTTCGTCCTGATACCATTTTTTCCTCTTCAACCAATGCTTTTTTTTAACTTCCTTGGTTAATCACAGAATCAAGTGAGAAATTATTCCGATGTCTTCAGTTTTAATTGAGTTGTGTATCTGGAGGGCAACCACATGACGGGACTTTCTTGTTCACCTACTTTGTATTGTATTTCAGTTCTGCTAGTATCAAGTCCTTAACTTATGTGCTTAGAGACATGTGTGATGAGCGTTGTGTATATTCTTTGACTCTATGATACTTCAGCCTTTGGACAAAAATCTAGAGAAGGGTACTGAGCTGCCTAGTACGGTCTATAACCTAATCTCTCGTCTAGGGTATGTTTGTGAGGAAATACCAAGCAATGGAATGAATATGGACTTCAAAGAAGTCCAAGTAGACAGTGATATTCTGTCACTCAGCTGTGCTCTGTGACCTTGGGACTGTGAAGGAATATCCATGAGCACACTTCATCAGAATACTTTTGACGGTGCTTGCGAGAGTGAACAGAAATGTGTTGAACTCCGTATCTGGCATATTGTTGGTGAAGTGAGCTCCTCTTCAGCTCTCCTAGAGCAAGAAAACTCCAACCAAGCATCCTCTCAGTGTGGCTTGTGTTTCTGCTTCTGGGGCTTCCACCCTTCTCCTCTTAGACTTCTACTTCTTTGTGATACAGAATGGTGTTCGCGTTGAAGTGCCTCTCTCTCCTGAAAAGACCAACAATGACATTATTCACTTCCTTATGCCAAGTGAGTGTAATAGGCTCACTTTGAGGACAACAATCAAGCTTGCAAGCTTGGGAAACGATGCCCAGCACTGTTCTTTAGCAGCACCGAAGGGGCCACGAATGCAACCAGGTCACATAATAAGGAATCCCTTTCATCAGTCAAATAAGATGCAATACTGGGAGTTTCGTATGTGACAGCCATGGGCCTGTTAATTCAATAAAAGATGGTCACTGTATATGTGAATTTAATATTTACAAATTCCCATAGAAAGGGATGCATAATAGCTATATGGCCAGCAGGAAAGGCTTCAATTAGATGAAACGATGAGCATACAAGTAATTTATAGACCCTGAACAATACCAGGCAAAGGTAAAATATTTTTATTTTATTTTATTTTTTTTACTTTTTGGGTCACACCCGGCAATGCACAGAGGTTCCTTCTGGCTCTGCACTCAGGAGTTACTCCTGGCGGTGCTCAGGGGACCATATGGGATGCTGGGAATTGAACTTGGGTCAGCCACGTGCAAGGCAAATGCCCTACCCGCTGTGCTATCTCTCCAGCCCCGGTAAAATATTTTTAAAATTAATCATGAACATACAATAGTTCAACCCAGGGGAACTTAGGCTGATATGTGCAATAGTGGAAGTTTTTGGTTTTGTGTGTGTGTGTGTGTGTGTGTGTGTGTGTGTAAATTTTGCTGAATTCATTTCTTCTTTTTTGTGGGGGGAGGTGTCACACCCAGGGAAGGGATAACTCCTGCTTCTGCACTCAGGAATTGCTTGCTCTGGTGCTCAAAGAACCAGGGAACCATATGGGATGTTGGGGATCGAATCCCAGTTGGTCCCATGCAAGGCAAGTTGCCCTACCCACTGTACTATCTTCCCAGCCCCCTGAACTCATTCCTAGGGTGAAACTTCAGAAGAGAAAAGTCTGTTTTCATGGGGGCTATTTGCTGATTGTTCTAGATATATTCAGCTGGCATTAGTGCTTAGCTCCCAACAAAAAGGTTCTCTTTGAAGGTCAAAATTATGGGGAGAAGCTGCTTGAGATTGTCTCGCGCTGTTCATGTTTGGTGCAGGGGTTTCAGGGGGAGGAGCTGAGAGCCTGAGAGGATGGCTGTCTGTGGAGGTACAGGATAAAGCAGAGCTGAAGCGCTCACACAAAGACTGGGCCCGGGAGGTGAAGATTTTTTTTGGGTGTGTTCAACTATTAATCTGTTATTCTGAAAGTTTAGCCCCGAAATATGCCAACTGTGCCACATTCCTCCCAGCAACTCAGAGTTAATTCTAAGTTATTCTCTGGTAAGGTCTCCTTCCTGTGCAGACACAAGCAAGGCCATATCCCCAGGATGAGGCAAATCCTACTCAGTCAGTCAGCTTTCGTTCTCCGGGGTCCCAGGCTAAGGTTTCTAGTTCGTTTCTGGGAAAAGTGGCTTAGACACCATTGAGCTTACAGATTGAGGATATCATTCAACGTTGTCGTCCCCAAACAAAGCTAATCTCTCTGATTGCCAGCCATTTGGTACATGGATAGACTCAGAAGCCAATAACGAGTGGCGACTTTTGGCTTACATGAAGACGTCATAACCTCATTGCTCGCCCATGCCCTATGGCCAAGTTCATTTTGTTCTGCTCCTTATGCATTTTTAGACCGAACTGAGCTCCGGTCATCTGATGTAGCCTTGAAACTGTTTATTGACCTACAGGTCCTGCATCTCTCAAGATGAAACCAAATTGTGGGGCCAAGAGGGGAATCCGGGGCTTGTTAATGAGGCGGAAGGCTGGTTTTGTGGGTGGCCAGACGAACAGGGCTTAGCCATCCACATTTATGGGGACTCATCAAACCAACAACAGGGAGGGGCTTTGAGTGTGCCAAGCTGGGGCGGGGCAGGGCGGGGGGGGGGGGGATCATCTTGCTGTGGAATATCACTCCTCACGGCAGCTGCAGTCTCCCTGCCAGCGGCAGTAGCTGGTGGAAAGACTGCTTTGTTTATTGCTTAATCTATCACTGTTGAGTTGCCTGCCTCAGGGAGGCTCAATTTAAGATAGATTGAAAGGTAGTGTCTGTCAATTGAATAAACACAGATGGTTTTCCACAGCAAAAATTGATTTTTTTTTCCCTTGCCAAAGACATAAGCGCTAAACGTGATTATCTTTGGAAGCCAGGCGTGAAATGTCTTAGCTCCAGTCCCTGCCACACTGTGTCCTAGCAGAAGGGTAATGCCACCTGGGGGCTTGGGTCTCTCTCTGTCTCTCTCTCCCCAGGATTTTATGTTCTGGAGGTGAAGTGGAGATCTGACTTTTCTAGCGAAGGGGTTGCAATACCAGTAAGAAGGTTTGAGTCCATCCAACAGTGGAGTCATAAGATCATTTTCCGGTTGGCTAGGGAAGGCCGCCTTGACTGGTTCATTTCAGAACCGATAAGATTTGCCCAAGGAAGCACAGCTCTCCTAGACTTCAGCCCCCACCCCCAACTCAGAAACTAGGAGAGAGGCACGATACCCTCCTTGCCACGGTGGTACCAGAAGACTCAACTCCCGAAAAGGAAGTAAATTCAGAGATGGGTGAAAAAATCCTTTGGTAGCCCCAAATGCTGTACACCTTAGCAACCAATGGGTCTCAGAGACATGGATACCCAAGAGTTTTGAAGAAAGTTAAGGGTGGAAGTCAGGAGCAAAAATTTAAAATAATGGGTGCACGAAGGTTGAGGAGAGGTGATGAGGAATGGAAACTGATGTTGGATGTTTTCTTTTGGGTGCTTCTGTTGAATTTCCAAAGGCAACAAGCCCAGGGGACTACCTTCATTCCCTGGGCCCAAGGAGTCCCTGGAAGTGATAGATAGCCTTTCACAGTGCTGCTGTGAACAGAGGCTGGGTGGTGGTAGAGGATATCCAAAAAGGGGCAGAGGTAGCAACTTTGCAGTTGCTGGAAGCACGCGGGGAAATGCTTTGTGGCAGAGCCAGAAGCAACGAAGAGATTCAGTGGCCGAGAGCAGGAGATGGAGCCGGAGCAATGTTCTCTCATTTTGGAATTGGGGAGGGAAAAAGGGGAAATTGATGGTCAAGGGCATATGGCTAGATACTGTTGGGATGGCAAGCTGAAAATCCTTGCCTTGTCAGACCATGCGATGGAGATATGACCTTCTAGGAAGGCAAGTGGCCACAGGGTAGTGGTGGCTGTAGCAGTCAGAAGTGGCTGGCTTTCCCTCCAGCCAATGCATCTGTGAACACAGATCTTTATGACTGTCTTGGTCATAACTTCCTCAGCTCTGAAAACGCTATGCACTGTGTCTCCTATCAATAGACAAAAATCTCGTAAGGTGTCCTGTGAACTAGAGATATGACAGTTCTTTCTCTTTTGGAGAGAGGAAAGTCAGAACTGAAACCCTCTTAGCACGGAAGGGAGTTACTTTAGAGCACATCGGCAGATTTTTGTTCGTTTGCGGGCCACACCTGACCATATTCAGGGCTCAGTCCTGGCTCTGTGCTCAGAGATCACTCCAGGCAGGCTCAGAGATTGTATGGGGTGCCAGGGATTGAATCCAGGTTGGCCATGTGTAAGGGCAAGTACCCCTGTACCCCCCTGTACCCCCCACTCCAGATTTTGACTCTGCCTCCTGTAGCCCTCCACCCCCCGCCCAGATTTTGACTATCTGAATGTGACTATCTGTTTGCAACTGGTCAGAATTATTCAGCGCTTTAGCTGTAAATATTGGGGGGGGGGTTATTAAAGTAAAATTGTCAAACTCTTATACTCAGGAAAAAAGAGTTAAGCCTGGTCTTTTTCTGCACATGGTCCATTTCAATAATACACTTTAAAAGTAGAAACTATATAGCTGTCTTTCAATCAGTTCTTCAAGGATCAGTTCTTAAAGGTAACAGTCACCCCCCAAAAAAACTTTATAGAAAGTGTATCCATCTCCTCCCACACACTTTAGGTGAAGCCTATGTTTAATAAAAGCATACTTCTCTGTATGCTTAGATCAAGTCCTTTTTTCCATCACACAAAACTACTGCTTCAGTGCAGCCAACAAAGACAAGCCAAATCTAAATAAACAACATTTGGCTGAAAGTCCAGATATGGAGAAGAAATGCTGTAAATTTTCACCTACAAATAAATTGCTATTATCCTCAACTTCTTCCCTAAAAAACTTTTCTCCAGTGAGACTGCACCATGGAAGCTTAGAGTTGGGAAATGCACGAAGAAACTCCATGAAGTTAATGGTCAGATTGTTAGCTATCACCCCTCACCCACATTCACCTAGGTGGTCAGTGACGGTTTTGCCTAAAACTTGCTTCAAATGCGCAAGTTTGTCCATGTCCTGAGAACAGATATTTTACAAACAACCCACACTCACTCGCTGATGTGTTTGAAACTGACTTTCAGCGTTATCAATTTAAGGACTGTTTCTCATAGGCAGGGCTCTTTCATAAAGTTGCCTTTTCATACGACCAGTGAAAATAAAAGTTCCTTCATTTGTGATTAGAAATATTCCTGTAAAATTACTCAAATAACATTTCTGAATTTTTTTCACCCAACAGTGCTCAGGGTTTACTCCTGGCTTGATGCTCAAGAATCAACTCTGGCAGTGCTGGGGGGTGAGGGCATATGTGATGTGGGGATTGAACTCAGAACAGCCGTGTGCAGGGCAGGTACCTTAATACCTGTACTATGTCTCTGGCCCACAAATTTTCTTTTTCTTTTCTTTCTTTCTTTCTTTCTTTCTTTCTTTCTTTCTTTCTTTTTTTTTTTTTTTTGCTTTTTGGGTCACACCCAGCTATGCACAGGGGTTACTCCTGGCTCTGCACTCAGGAATTACTCCTGGCAGTGCTCAGGGGACCATTTGGGATGCTCTGGGAATCGAACTCAGGACGACTGCATGCAAGGCAAACGCCCTACCCACTGTGCTATCGCTCTAGCCCCAAATTTTCATTTTAAAAGCGCAAACTTTTAACAAAGATGTGACAAGGTGGGACCTTGCACACAGGGCATTCTTAGTACACAGTTTCTGTTACTGAGATCTTGTTGAGTGTGTGGTTTCTATGACTTCAGAGGTCACACCTGGACATTGAGATTGGTGGCTCAGAATAATACCGGCAAGCTACCGAGAGTATTCGATATGCCAGACACAGTAACAACAAAGTCTCCAATGGAGACGTTACTGGGCCCGCTCGAGCAAATCGACGATCAACGGGAGGGCCTTTACCTTTTACCTTTATCTGAAAATGGGACACGTTTGGTCTCCATCAGTAGCAGTATTCGCAAATTGCAATGGCACCTGGACTGTTGTGGGCCTTTCAACATAATACACAGGCACCACTTACGAACCTCCAAAGGATATTTGGAGGGTACAGAGAGGAGCCCAGGTGTGAGAGTTATTTACCAACCATAAAGAAAAGAGACAGAGGTCTCTAAGGGACAGGGTCAAGGGTCAGTCTAGACATACCCTTCGTGACAGATGTTTCCATTGATGAGGCTGAAGGTGGCCATAGATGGGTGGGTGGTCTTGAAGGAGGTCACACACGTGGTACTTCTGCCAGTGCTATGAGAACGACCCAGCAGCCCAGGCCGGCAACAGATGAGCTGAGTGTTGAACTGTTTCCTGAAACTCTTGCTCAGGAGGTAGAGAGCAAAAGGGTTCACGCAGGAGTTGGTGAAGGCTAGGAGGCGGGCACAAATGCTGGACACGAAGTGGAGCATGGAGGTGTCCACCTCTGAGTAGTGGTAGGAGCGGTACAGGTAGATGACATGGTTGGGCAGCCAGCAGACGGCAAAGAGAGCCACAAACACCAGCACGGTCTTGGCCAGGCGCTTCCGGGACTCGATCTAAGGAGAGTCACACACAGACAGATGCAGTGACAGTGAGGGGACAGGAGGATGCAGAGAGCCAAAGATTCAGAGAAGGAGGAAGGGAAACCAGCTCACAAAGCCACAGCATATGAGAGGGGACAAGAGGAAATCCATGAAATGGGAGGAAAAGAGTAAAGAAAGAAAAATTAGAGCCAGGAACACAGAAATGAAGAAGCCCAATCAACAGCCCTTGAGACAGAATGTAGGGAGCGTCTCACGAACACCGTTGACGGCATGCTCAAATGGACCACACAAGGCAGTTCCAGAGGTGCCCCCTTCTCAGGGAACACTGGTGTGCTTTAGCGGCTACAAAACCTTGTGTCTTTCTTTGCTCCATAGGGGAGAGAGAGAAACACACAGAGAGACAGAGACAGACAGAGAGACACAGACAGAGAGAGAAACAGAAACAGTTTGTCTCTTCCCCATTCACCAAACCTAGAGAACTTCCTATAATTGTTTCTCAACCTCAATTTATTTCTGTACTGGACTCTAGAAACAAACTCTTCAATAAAGTGGGCTTCCCCCCAACCCCCCCCCCCCCCCCAGGGAACTACAGACGGGAGCTATGGTCTCCTGGATCAACTAGGGTCCCAGTGACCTTCCTCACGGAGAGAGCTTTTCAGCAGGAAACATGTCCCTGAGCACTGTCCTCTCCCAGCCATTGAGACCAAATAAAGGCCCATGGCAGAGTGATGCCCCCTCAAGGAGTCAGCCCTCCACAGAAAGGGATGGCACCATTCTGCTTTTCCATAGAAATAAAATGTGGACTAGCAGGTTAAGAGCTGGGAAAGAAGTTGAGTCAGAAGTCCTTGTGGTGACCATCCAGAGCTGAAGGGTAAAATTACAGGCCTGACAGGAGTGTGTTCAGTTGTTCAGGTGGACTACGAGACTCTATGCAGGCTCTTTTATGAGGCTCCACCCTAAGCCAGGGATCAGAAAATGGAAGGTCTGAGAAGTAAAGTCATGATACCTCGAATTCAGATTCATGGAAGCCCATCGGAATCAAATGACTTTGTCTTCCACCAGCCTCATTTTCCTGCTCTTGGTTGTTTTGTCTCTCTGTGGTAACACTCTTCCTATCCCAAAGATGTGATTGGAGTTTAAATAAATCACATTGTCCTGAGTCTCATTATTTTATTAAAAGCATCAACAAAAAGCAAAAAACCACTGTCTGGCCAGAGCAATAGTACAGTGGGCAGGGTGTTTGCCTTGCATGTGAACAACCTGGGTTCGATCCCTGGCCTCCCATATGGTACCCCAAGCACCACCAAGAGTAATTCCTGAGTGCAGAGCCAGCAGTAACCCCTGAGCATCACTGGGTGTGACCCAAAAAGGGAAAAAAAGAACCCACTGTCACCTTTGCCAGACATTTTTCGAAAAAAAAAATATATATTCCAAATCTTTCAGGTTTTCAATCACTCCCCAAATTAGGTCTTTAATAAGAGTACAAGATTAAAGGGCTGGGGAGATGACTCAAAGAGCCAGAGTACATGTTTGGCATACATGAGGCCCTGAGTTTGATCCCTGGTACCACATGCCCCCTCCCCTGCAGAGCTGAACACACTGTGATCACCAAGCACTCGACTGCCAGGCCCAAGTATCACTTAGTGACATCTGGGCTCCAGAACACTGCTTGGGACCACTGCTCCGCCCCCCCCCCCCCCCAAAGAGTACAGTTTTGCAAAGAACTGAGCTTCTGTAACTCGAGGTTTCCATTTGTCCTGTCACCAGATCTGTTAGAAAGAATCACGTGATGTGACTACTAAAGACTTGTCAGTGAATTGCAAATGGCAGATAAGGACCCACATTCCCCAGGAGGCAATGAAACCATCCGCGGAACCCACCTGCTTCTTGATGTGTATGTTGCCTTCCACGGGCAGATTGTAAGCACTCTGGATCAGATTTTTGGCAATGAAGTAGTAGTAGACAGAGATGATTGACAGTGGGATGATGTAGAAGACCAGGAAGGAAGCCATAGAGTGGATTTTCGGGTGCAGATCATTGGAGTGTGGGTATGGGGCACAGCTAATGAAGGTCTGGTTAGTGCTTTCTTCATGGAAGGGATGCAGGTCAGAGAAAACAGCCTCTGGAATGGCCAGAAGCATGGAGATGATCCAGATCAAGGCAGCTTTGAGGCAGATCTTCATCAGGGCATGAGAGGCCTGGATGTCCATGGGCCGGACAATGGCTTTGTACCTGTGGCGGGAAGGAGGGAACACTCTCTGTCAGTTGTTTATTTCTTATGAGTGATGCCAGGACCAGACCTCATGTGAAGCAAGCCAGGCCCCTGGGAGTAGAATTTAAGGAAGCTCTGCTCACTCTCTGGTTCATGCAAGTGCTTCCTCCAAACTCATACCTCCCCCAACAGTAAGTGCCTCCTTAAATTTTTTAACCCAGTTCTGGCCCTGAAATCTGCCTTTCTCTTTCTCCAGAAGTAACAGTCTGCCCACGCTTCTTTCTCTCAATTTGAAGACTTCTCAGAAACACAGAAGCTCTTTTCATTTTCCTACTTAAATCTTACGAATTAATAACAAAGCATGTTTAAACAAGGATTGGGGGTACAAGAAGACTGGCTTTTTTTTTCTTTCGCAAAGCCTTCATTACAAGAGCTCAAATATAATTTTTCCTCATTGACATTAGTCATTGACTATTTGCTACTTTATCACCTACCCTTTTTCAAAGGCTGAGAAAGTTGTTCATGGGAGCATTCCTATTATTCTCAGATTAACCCTTCCCCTGCCCTCCTACTCTCCTGCCTCACCTTCTCTGCAGTAAGTAGGTCCTTCCGGGCTTCAATCCTTCATTGAGGTATCCCTGCATTAGGTCAAGTGCTTTGGGAAATAGACACTGAGATACGGTCTGGAGGACAAACGATTGAGTGGGGAGTAATATCAATGATAAAAGGGGAGGCATCAATCAGGATGGACAGAAGCATCTTCCAGATCCTGATGCAGATATGAATGAGTCTACATCAGTCAAAATGTCCAACTCTACTATTTTGCCTTAGAAGAAATCTCCCAGTCTTCACACTGAAAAGCTGACTTCCTGAGCAATTTCTCAGTCCGAATAAAGTGAGACAACTGGTGACCCGGCATGAGCCCCATGGGAAGTCCAGGAGTGAAGATTGTTCAACAGGAGTCCTGTATGGATGGACATGGTTGGACCATTGTAACACCCCTTGCTCAGTCATTGGCTTGGGCTACCCGTAAAGAGTGTGACTTTAGTTAACTATTTGGTTCAGTTCCTGCACACGACACTCCCTTTCCCCATCAAGAAGAGCATGACCAGAGCTTGAAAGCTAGTGGGCTTTAGCTGACTGATATATCACTGTCAGTCATATCACTCAGGGGTAGACAGTAAGTCCCTTCTGCAAGGGAGGTCTGAGTAGGGCATCCCACATCGCCCCCAATTCACCAGACAATGCCTACCACAGGAGGCTGCACACCTATCTTCATCAGATGAATTTCACATCAACCAGTCTCATGTCTCTCCCCTTTACTCCACCCCTTCTCACCATTGCAGCAATGTGATGACCTGAGACCACCCCCTCTCAACCCCGCCTCCCAGAGATTAGTCATTCTGGTGGCCAAAGAACCTGTCCTTCTCCATCTTGTTACCTAGTGTTGTGATTTGCATACACCCTGTGACATTGGTTCCATTAAACATGACTTGCCACACTAGTGACACACTTGATATGAGATGGATCCAAGTGAATATGAGAGTTACCACTGCTGTGACATTGTGTTGACATTGGGTTCTACCTGTGATGTGCTGTAGTAAGACGTTGGTGTGGGGAGCAGTTATTTCACTTGTTATTGGTGATTAACCCTTCATTGAGTTATCATTCTTGGCCACACCCTGACACTTTAACTTACTTTCCTCCTCTCTTCAGGGAAAGGGAATACGTCTTTGAGTCGTAACTCTTCTTAAGTGGTGAGACTAGGGAAAAAGAATATGGCACATGCATTGGACTCAGAGAGACCTATGGTTGTCTAACTGTCCCTGACTTGAGGCTGGCACATTTATTTTTTTAAATTTTTATTTCATTTTATTTTTTTGTTTTTTGGGTCACACCTGGTGATGCTCAGGGGTTACTCCAGGCTTTTCATTCAGGAATTACTCCTGGCGGTGCTCGGGGACCATATGAGATGCTGGGAATTGAACCCGGGTCGGCGGTGTGCAAGGCAAACGCCCTACCCACTGTGCTATCACTCCAGCCCTGAGACTGGTGCATTTAATATAGGTGGTCACAGTGTGTACAAAGCCATTGTGTGTGCGTGTTGTGTGTATGTATGTGTGTGTAGACTAAGTCAATTCTCCCAAATGGCTTTAGAATATGTAGACACAACTATTTCCAGTGTCATCTGTCTTAGGTTCCCAAGCCAGAAAAGGCTGTTGTATATTTATTGGACACTCCTGACTTCCAGAACTCCAGAACATTAGGTTTTGCTTCAATATACTGGGGTTATCTTTACCATCCATACATTTTATCAGTCCATTTTAAACAATTAGCAAAAAGCAAACATTCAAAGGAAACTCTTTTTCTTCTGCATTTTCTCTAGAAACAACTCATTTTATTTTTGGTTTTGGGGCCAAATCCAGTGGTATTCAGGGCTTACTCTTGGGTCTGCACCCAAGAATCACTCCTGGCTCAGAGGCCAGTATGGAATGCTAGGGATCGAACTCAGGTTAACCAAGATAATCCAAGTGCCCTGTATACTATACTATCTCCCAGTCCCCATTTAAAAACATTTTTATTCCTAGATGAAAATGTAGACAAGGAATTAATATCTTGAATTAAAAATATGTGAGCCTCTTCAGCCAAAGATGTTTATGACTCTAACAAACTGATTAGAGATGAAGTGGTAATTATAACTTCTATCTGCATCTTCTAGCAGGTACCAGGCATAAATACCATTAATTCCCCCAAGTGAAGTAGATTGCTATATGTGTCAGAAACTGGACTGAACAGCTTACTACCTTCTCTCTTGGGAATCTTGTATTTCTTGTGACAAATGTCATGGAAACTAGGGAGCTGCTATTTAAGAATCATAACTTTTTTCTTTTTTATTACAGTTTTTTAAAATGAATCACTGTGAGATAGTTACAGACTTAGAAACGTTCATGATTATGTTTCAGTCATACAATGATCGAGTACCCATCCCTCCACCAGTGCCCATTCTCCACCACTGATGTTCCCAGTATCCCTCCTGCCACTCCACCCCAGCCCCTCCACGCCTCTGTGGCAGGCACATTCCCTTTTACTCTCTCTCTCCTTTTGGGTGTTATGGTTTGCAATACAGGTACTTGGTAGCCATCATGTTTGGTTCATAGTCTACTTTCAGCACGCATCTCCCACCCTGAGTGAGCCCTCCAAGCATCATTTACTTAATGGTAACTTCTCTATCCCAGCTTCCTTTTCCCCCAACATGTAAGGCTGGCTTTCAAGCTGTGGTGTGATCCTCCTGGCCCTTATCTCTACTATCCTTGGGTGTTAGTCTCCCATTATGTTACTTTATATTCCACAAATGAGTGCAGCCATTCTCTGTCTCCCTCTGACTCATTTCACTGAGCATGATACTCTCCACACTGATCCACTTGTATACAAATTTTATGATTTCATCTTTTCTAACAGCTGCATAGTATTCCATTGTATAGATATACCAAAGTTTCTTTAACCAGTCATCTGCTCTCAGGCACTTGAGGTTTTTTCTTCCAGCGGAATCATAACTTTTAAACTTATAAAACATAATATAAAATTCTTTTGGTATCTTAGCCAGAAAAGTCACTTGAATCTAAGTCTAATGATGCCTCTGCATCCGTGCACAGGTTTTAAGAAAATGTGGGCATAGAAGAGCCTGCTAAATGATGTCGTGATATAGTCATCCAAGTCCTGAACTGGAATAGCCTACAGTAACAACAACCACCCCGTTTTTTTGGTACATCTATGACCCAAAAAACCAGAGGGAATAATTAGAGATGAACTGAAATGTATGAGGAGTGTCAATGAACTGCAATCAGTGGATGGACTTATCTTGGAATTTGATTTACACCAACTAATGATAAAAAGTTTTAAAATTGTTGCAGGGGGCTGGAGTGATAGCACAGCAGCCAACCCGGGTTCAATTCCCAGCATCCCATATGGTCCCCCGAGCACCGCCAGGAGTAATTCCTGAGTGCAGAGCCAGGAGTAACCCCTGAGCATTGCTGGGTGTGATCCAAAAAGCATAAAATAAAATAAAATAAAATTGTTGCAGAAAATAAAACATTGATTTGTGTAGGTGGTATCAGAGAATTACTTTTTTTTTTTTGGATATGACAGTGGTGTTTTCAAAAGGTCTTAGACTTAAAAATACAGCCTAAAATGTTTACCAGTGAAATCATGTAATGTCTAGGATTTGCTTTAAAATATTCAAATATGCTTACATATCATTTTTGTAATTAAAAGATAAGTAAATGTGCATTGCAAATAATTTTCTGTCATGTATTATTCATGAATATCAAAGAATAAGAGCAATAACATTTGCTATACTTTTGCCTCATGGTATGCAGAGAATAACCCCTACATGATCTCATCTTTGTTCCAGACAATCCAACAGGTAGATGCTACCATCCCCATTCTACAGGTGAGAAACTGAAGTTTGAAGAGTTTCAGAGGCAGAAGACTAACATGCAATGTAGGAGCATCTCTTTTGGGTACCACAGCTCTTTCAAAAGAAAATTGGGGGCAGATCATTCTAGAAACAGTAAAACAGGCCCTTCCCAAATGCACACAGAACCAAAGGTCCCCTGAAAGTATAATGGTTCTAAAAAGCATGAACTATATCAGTCTATTTGCTCTTTTTTGAGCTTCCAATACAGAGAGACCTCACTGGCTGTTTCTTGTGTAGGAGATATGACGGGTTGAACTGTGGTGGATGATCAGTCTAGCTATACAATGAGTATAGCTAGCTGTAAAAGTCTTTAGGCCAGCTACTAAAATCTTTGTCTAGATCAGTTATACTAGAATTTGACAGAATATTGTCGATGAAAGATGTTATGTATATGCGTGTGTGTGGATGAAAGATGCTGTGTGTGTGTGTATCCCTTTCCCAATGAAGGGATAAGCACAGCCATATTTTAATCTTGTATAAGATGAATAAGCAGAGTAGGCAGAATAAGAGAAAGAAAAAATGAGGCTGCTTAAGAGGAGTTAC